ATTTTGCCATTTTCTATTAGATAAGCCTCTGAAGAGGAAAAAACAAATTTACCAGACGTTATGTCAACTTGTCCACCACCAAAATTTACAGCGTATATACCTTTTTTGACGCTGGATATTATTTCTTCAGGTGTATGCTGACCTGGTAGCATATATGTATTTGTCATGCGTGGCATAACAACCTCTTTATAGCTCTCCCTTCTTCCGTTACCAGTTGGATTCACACCCATAAGTTTGGCGTTCATGGAATCCTGCATATAACCTTTTAAAATCCCATCTTCTATTAGAACATTATAACCAGAAGGGTTGCCTTCGTCATCTATGCTAATGGACCCACGTCGGTTAGGTAGAGTACCATCATCAACCACCGTTATACCTTTAGCAGCTATTTGTTTGCCTATAGAATTTGAAAATGCTGAAATTTCTTTACGATTGAAATCTCCTTCTAAACCATGACCGATTGCTTCGTGTAGCAATACTCCTGGCCACCCTGAGCCTAAAATTACGGTCATCTCTCCGGCTGGACTTGGGACTGCGTCAAGATTTATCAACGCTTGTGCTAATGCTTGGTCTGCAATTTTCTTCCACTCATTTTCAACAATAAATTCATTATAAGAATTTCTTCCTCCGTGTCCTGCAGAGCCTTTTTCAGTACGGCCATTTCTTTCCAGGATTACTAATACATTGAAGCGTACTAGAGGTCTCACATCGTTCAGTACGCAATCGTTTCTTACTATCTGTACAGCTTGCCATTCTCCACTCAGAGTAATTTTTACCTGTTTGACATTGCTATTCTTGGAGCGTACATATTCATTAACTTCGTTAAGCAGCTTAATTTTTTCATTTAAGCCTATTTCTTTGATTGGATTGATTGCTGGATAAAGACTATTCGCTTCTTTTGTCAGATGTACTAGGCTATTCTTGTTTAAAGATGCTGAGCTTTTTACTATGGAAGCTGCATTGCTAAGTTCCTTTTCACTTATCTCTGAAGAACAAACGAAGGATACACTATCACCACAAAAAGATCTTAAACCGAAGCCTTTTCTTGTATTTAAATCTACATGTTTTAAAATATTATCATCGAAGAGTAGGGATTCTGATTGACAAAACTCTAGGAATAGTTCACCACCATCGCTGCCGTGCAAAGCGTCATTTACTATTCTATGTACGTTATTAATGTTTTGAGCAAAATCTATCATTTCTAGTTTAAAAATTACTTAAGTATATTATTGAATTTTGGTATAGTAAACTATAAAAAGGCCCGAGTGGCGGAATGGTAGACGCGCTAGCTTCAGGTGCTAGTAACTTTTTAGGTTGTGGAAGTTCAAGTCTTCTCTCGGGCACTCTAGAATTTGTAAAATTAATCAATGTATGTTATTATACATTAGTGATAATTATATTGTGTCATGGTAAAGGATGGGTTGATTTACAGAAAAAGAGTACGCACTTACTCGAAGCGTCTTGTCACTATACTATCTATTGTGCTTGGGCTTGGGTATATAATTTTGGATGTAATGAATTTTAATCTATGTTTTGCTGTTGCAGGAATTATACTCAGTGCAATTTCATTTGGATTAAATCTATGGTCGTTGAATGATCATAAGAAAAAGCAAGAACTAAATAAAGAATTTGCTATCAAGGAAAACAAACTGGATATCAGAAACAAATCAGTCAAAATAAGTTTAGATATGTTATCTAGCAGTGCATTTTTTATGGGTGGAGTTCTATCTGCATTGATGACAATTTTTATACTGCCTATAGATCACTCAATTCCAGCGACTTGTTTTACTATCGGTTACCTGGTGATAACATTAAATATCGTTATGGG